GATACATACTGTATACATATATTATTAAAGAAAAAACAAAAAAAATGAATGAGTAATTTGATAAACAGTTTGATTAGTAAATTATATTCAAGTACATCTTTCATATTTTAGAAAATATGGGAAAATTTCTTTAAAATTATTAATATGAAATAAAAAAGTCAACGTCAAATATTAACCTAAATCCAGAAACACAATATTTTTATATACAGTATACACTTGTACATACAGCCCTTATTGTTGTCAGGATTTATCTTTTTTCTAAAGATAATTTGATGGAAAATGAAAAAAAAAATTGCGTTGTAATTATATATTCAGTTTTTGCTTCTTCCACTTCTGGAAGTGTTTCTCCTTCTTCTTTTGCTGCCATAAAATTTTAATATAAAAATATTTTTCATATTAATTATTTATGAAAAAAATAAAACAATATTTACTTACTCGAGGTTGCTGAAAATGAGTCCGATTTGCACTACTTTGTGTACTGCCACCTTGGAAACTGCTAAAGTCTACTGATTTGTAATCGAATTTTTTTGATGGTAACAAACCCTGTTTCTCCAATATTTTCTCATTCGCTTTTTTGTCACCTTTTTTCCTGGCTCTGTCACCACATTAAGAATTCTGTTATTACTACGCACAAATATATGTGTTGTATTTTCTTTTTTGAAACAAACAACTTACCTTATCGATGTTACAGAATTTCTATTATCACTCTGAACTTGTGCAAAACTCTGTTGCAACTTTTGTTCTTTGATTTCCAGTGTTCTTTGTTTTGCTTTCTTGGACATATGCACAGTTTCAACATTTAAATGCGATGTCGATGTAGAAAAATTATTGCCGTCGTTCTTTTTTTGACTCTCATTTCCAGTATCAAATTTTCTCTTCCTTTGTCTACGCTTCAGCAATTGATTGAGAGTTATTCTCTCGGACTTCTTTTTCTTTTTGAGTTGAACCTCCGCTTGTACATTCTTTTGAGACATTTGTTTAAAATGTTCATAAACTCTGTTTTTACTCTCGTTAATCTCAGCCTCGTTTATACATTCGTCCTGGCTTTTCATAGTCAATCTCTCTTCTTCTTTTTCTGTTTCTTCTTTCTTTTGTTGTTCCTCTCGTTCTTTTGCTTCCTGATCCATTACCATTGGTATGACACATCTATATCTCATAAACGGACTTATAAATATAATCTTTTTTTTATTCCCATTCTTACTACCTTTTGTTTCTTCGTCCTGAAATAAAAAGTGTAACTCATTAACATATTTACACACATATATACGCACGCACGCACGCATACACACACATTATATACAGGGTGTCCGGAAAATCGCTCGCAATTCTCTGGGAAATGATTCGAGACCTAAAAAGAAGGAAAAAAATATATAAACATAGGTCCGGAAATAAGTCATTTCTGAGTTATAACCACTTTTATGTTAAAAAAAGTGTAATTTATTTTTCGTAATTGCAATCATAATTTATTTTATAGTGTTTTAACATAAATAACTACATTTTGAACTATTTTGGTGTGAAGTATCCCTCTTTTTTATTTTTTTTATTTTTAATTTTTTCTATTTTACTAGAGGGATGCGGACTATGACTCCATGTAGTGCATCCTGGGTAACGCTAAAATAGTATGAAATATAGTTATTTATGTTAAAACACAATGAAATCAATTATAATTGTAATTATGAAAAATAAATTACAATTTTTTTAACATAAAAAAATTGGTTATAACTCGAAAACGACTTATTTCCGGATCTATGTTTATATAGCTGTTTTTCCTTCTTTTTGGGTTCCAAATCATTTCCCGAAGTATTGCGGACGATTTTCTGGACATCCTGTATATCCAAAGCACTCTATTTCCTATCTATAATTATCATTATCGTTATTTCCTATCTATAATTATCTTATGTTACTATCACTATCATTTTACCTCTGATATAACTGGTGTATCGAATATCGTTATAGTATGCTTGGTGGTCTGACACTTGTTTGCCTCTGAGAGTTCTGATCTCACAATATTTTTGTTTAAAAGACATGGCAAATCTGCTCTTGCTTCTGTACCACTTGGTACATCATGCGGTATGTATAAGGAAGCTCCAATGTCCGTATGACTTTGTTGTGTCGGTCTCTGCCGAATGTCCTGTTCAGCAATAGATTTTACAAGCGGTTGCTCCCTAGCTTTCAGTACTATCTTGTGTATCTTCAGTAAGTTTTGTCGCACTAATGGCGGAATTGGATTACAACATGCTAGAATACCCTGCATTTCACGTGGCAGCGTCTCAGCTATATTGAGTAGCATGTGGTTCGGTAATATATAGCCGATACTGTCGTCCTCCTGCCTTGCTGTGAGATCTCGCCATCTGTGCAATTCCATAAGCGCATATATCTGTTTATTGTTGAAAGACTTTTGACTCTTCCTGTACATGTTCATACAACTTTCCTCTGTCCAAATTGGTTTCACATACGTGCGCTTACAAATTTCAGCGCTTTGATCATACACAGCCTTCAAGACATTGCTTTTGCCATTAGCCGTATCAATCAATTCGTTCTTCAGCATGTCTTTTACATAAAGCAAATAATGTGTATCTTCTCTCGCATATTTCATTAGTTCTAATGGTAAAGGCCGTATACGCCAGTCGGCTAATTGAAAATGTTTGTTGGGATCTATACCACAATATTTGTTTAATAGATAAGCCAAACTGAGATAGGGTAGGTTGAGCTGTTTTGCAGCTTGATGGGTGTCAAACATGTTCACTACGTACAGCGACAAATCCCTTTGGAGCCACAAAATGTCCATATCAGCACCGTGAAAGATCTTCAAGATTGAAGGTTTTGTAAAAATTTCGTTCAGTTGATGTAATTCTGATCGTAGGCTCAAAGTATCAATTAAGTAATCGGTTTGTATCGTTGATATTTGCATTAAGCAAGTTATGCCCTGAAACGTTCTATAAGAGTGATGTTCCAAGTCCACAGCTATTTCCTTATGATTTCTCAGATCTTCTAGGAGAATGTTGATATCAGCTGGCTTATCAATGAATACAAAATTGGTATCGTCCAACGGCTTATATTCAACAGGTATTCTCTTCTTCAGCTGACATTCCGGTGTTTCAAACTTATCTAGTTCAAATTCATAAGGGTGATTGAAGACTTCGCCATGTTCATCTTCTTCGACATGAAGAGCCAATGGCTTCAGGGAGTTTGGTTTATCCTTAATTCGAGGCATCCATGGCTTTGAACTATTATCAATTTTATCCTTAAACATCAATTGTGGTCTTTGTATGTTTTTTCCACCCAACAACCGTACTTTATCTGAATTATCTGAGACTTGGTTGGTATTAGTCTTTATATTCCAAGTGCCATTCACAACTGGTTTTGGCATCTGTGATACAACCAATTCTACCTGAGGATTTCGTAGAATACCACTTTCCTCATCCATCAATATATTCTGAATAGAGAACACAGAAGCAAGAGAAATTATTAAGAAACTACATTTATTTTAAAAATTCAAATTAATATCTAATTATAAGATGCTTACAGCTTGATCTAGTAGTTGATCATTCGCTTCTAATAAAAGATCGAACTTTTCATCGATGTCTCGATTTTGGATGTTAGTAGAACCTCCTGTTAATTTTATTACGCTCTGCATTGTAGCCAGTATTCTCTCCTTATCTTTCTGTCTGGCATCATTAAAGCTTGGAAAGCAAGCGTAGTAATTGAAATTGTCTCCAGCAGGTAGATTATTAGCTGCTTTGATTCCAGCTCTCATCGCATCAAATGCATTCTGAAATACATACATTGCACTTTGGGACTAGAATCTTTTTTGTTTTACTTGCCAAGATGTATTTGCGTGAAGGACACAATCTTGGCGAGAAAACGTCGACATGAGCAAGCATACCTGAATGTAATCTTCGAAGATTGCATACCCAGGAATAAGGCGAATCGACGGTCCATCGTTCTTTTCGACTTCTATGTCATCATTTTGCGAGACGTTCGCCTCATAATCCCAATTTTCAGCAAATTCCACATGTTCCATATTTGCTACGTGCGCACTCGATTGTATCTCGAAATCATCCTCTCCTTCTGGAGCAACGCGAGGTGGAGAGTCGCCCATCGTTCTTCGTTTCCGAGTTTTCCAACACTCGCCTGTTTTTGAGGTTATCATTTATCGTGTGTTTCTGTCCTGCACTATACTGCACTAGAACTTTCTCGTTCTCGCTTTCAACAACTATCAAATATATACCTATCTCACTTTAAGTTCCAAAAGTGTACACTTTCAGCCATAGAAAACAGATGACGGATTTATTCTCGACTCTCGTTCTCGATTGAAGGAGATTGGTGGACCGAATCCCGTCGCTAGTACCATTAATCGCCACCGTTCCTGTGGCGTCGCAGACGTTTTGCGATTCGAACGTTCGCCCGTTCCTGGCGTTTCGGTCGCACACGTCCAAAATTAGTAAATAAAGACGAGATGGCAGCGTTCGAGCCGTGCGCCGTGCCGTCGTCGTCGTCCTCGCCGTCGTCCTTCTCCTCGATCTCTCGCGGAGAGTGTTCGACAAAATGAAGTGGAAACACGCCACGCGTCTCGTGGTTATCCAGAAAAGCTCACGAAATTCAACCGCGTGACTGGCGAATGACAAAGGCTCGTTCCAAAAGTGTATGCGTGAGAAATTATAGTGCGGTTTCGCTCACTGGTGGACGGTGCTTCTCGAGGATTGCGAAGACGGACGGACGGACAGACGCGGATGAAAGGGGAAAGAGAAAGAACGAGAGAGGACGAGAGAGAGAGGGAATAATTCGCGCTCCAGAGTTCACACCGTAAGGTACGAATTCCCGCTATATTTAGTCGGCCCGCCGCGACCGGCGCGAACGTGTATGCTAGAGTTATAGGAATTCGAGTGTGTGTGCGACGTGCGTGTACGTCTTCCTCGGCAATCCTCGGCCTCGGCGATTCCCATTCAAAGCTTTTCGTCCTCGCCGTGGGCGATCGACGTCGACGTCCGCAACGAATTTATTATCCGTTGCGGTCAGAGAGAATACGAGAGAGAGAGAGAGGGGGGGGGGGGGGGGGGGAACAAATATCAGACTATCCAAGAATAATTAGAAGATATCAGGAAAGGTAAAGGGAGTAAGAGATATTGAAAGCGGAGGAAAAAAGTTAGAATAATTGGAAAAACTAAATTTAAACAGAAGGAAAGTAATGGAGTAATTAATACCTCAGATGGGGGAGAGGGATAACGAGTCTGTGATAATTTTATGTGAAACGATACGTCTTACAACATATAATGTTATTTCATAAAATTTGCCACTAATTCTATTTGATATTCCATTTTCAGTTATTTCGAAATTACCTGGTATACTCGGTTGTCACCTGAAATAATCCAAACATAGATCAACTGCTCAAGATGATTAGAAAGTACAGGATCTCTCGCTATCGTGGGCGTCGTGAGGTTATCCAACGATAAAAGAGGCGCACGTTCGTCATCGAGAGAGCAACGCGGCGCGTGTACGTGTACACAAGTGCATTAGGTGTATACATATACGGTACACGTGCATACGTAATCGCAAGCTCGATCCAACTGCCCCGTAAATGACTTATCAGAAGGGACTTTCTAGAGGTATTGGAACGCTATTTTCGTCGATACAAACCTACATACCGTGGCATATTCTACGCATGTTTAATTTGATCTGATTGAATCAAATTCTTCAAATGACTCTCTGCTCTTGCAGGTTTCATAAGAACCTCGAGGATATACGGTATTACGAGATATCCCATCTTGTCTGAGTCCTGTTTTCCAATCGCATAATTTTCAGAATAGGATTCTTAAAACCAATGTATTTGCCAGTAGCTTTAAACTTCCATGATCCTCGATATAACTATCGGATATTGTCGTGCAAATATTCGCGATGGGATAACGAGAACATTTCTCAATAATTACACTTGTCAACGGCCGATTTTCCACAGAGATCTGCATCTGAACCGTTCTTAATCGCATAGGTGAAAGTAAGTTGATAATATTTTAATGAATGACAAGAGAACATCGATTCGCGAGCGCAGTGATGTCATACTTAAACGTATTACATCTTCGTAAATACCTTTACCCAAGAGAGAGAGAGAGGGGGAGAGAGAGAGAGTGAGAGAGAAAGAAAGTGCGAAAGTGCGATCGACCGTGTTAAATAATAAATTCGTAATATAAGTCATTTACCTAGAGATTCTATAATAGAGTTTGGCTACGAGAGCGATTTTGTCAAAGCCTACGAGAGAGAAAGGCATATATTCTATCTCATTTATACTGTCTTAATCTTTAATTAAATTCTATAAGATAGTGTATATTATATGCCTTTCTCTCTCTTAGGCTTTAACAATAACTCATAGCCAGACTCTATTATAGAATTTCTAAGTAAATGACTGATATTACGAATTTAACACAATCAATCGTACTTTCTCTCTCTCTCTCTCTCTCTCTCTCTCTCTCTCTCTCTCTCAGCATAGCCAGAAAGAATAATAGAATTCGTGAATAGAATGTTGCACAATAATTAAGGCCAAAATATAACAAGAAATAATAAAGAAATGTAACATACGCGATAAAGAGTAGATAATGCGAATACGTTTCTACGGAAACTATTTCGTGATATTTTATCCAAGTAGAATCGAATTGAAATAATGGGGGAGACAGTCTGACCAGACGAAGTCCAAAGTGATCAGATTGACGAGAAAGGAATTGATCGCGTGTAAAGAGACAAGAGTCGTTAGTTACGACTCAAGTCAGTTGGTCCTTGGAGATCATCGGCAAGAGCTTTGCCACCGCGGGTCTACATGCTCGCTAAAAATACCGTAACGCATCGAGTGAGCGACCGATTGGGAGTGTATCGAGAGCGGAGCAGCGGCTTCGCGCCTATTTCCATTGTCGATTTTTCCTAATCCAAGCGACATCAATGGCAACTTGTCGACATCGCGTGTCACGACTCACGAGTATGGTATCGAAACCTTCATATTCCAAGTCCGCGGTCGAAAAGAGACTCGACCACGAAATCATGCAGCATCATGACGTTGCTTTCTCAGTTTCATTCACCCTCGGCAACAGTCGCTGTTGCTCACTGAACTTAAGGAAGTTGTAAGGGCATAAAACATTAATATTTACGTTTTAAACAAACTACATACATGTGAAAGTTGTGTTCATAACATTCTATTTTTGAGTAATACATTTTTATAGATTATTTTATGTTATTTTTATTGTTATAAACAAAAATTTTTTAAATAATAAAAATCTAAATTTTTTTGTATAAGTACTTTAAGTATTAAAAATGACTTGTGCAAAGTTTCATTGAAATTTACCAATTAGTTTATAACAAATAAATATTTTATTTATTTACTGAACAACTAATGTCTGCATCTTAACGTAACTTTACATAAATATTTTTGGATTCATAAAGTACTTATACAAAAAAAAATTTAGATTTTTATCATTGTTTTATAACACATTTTTATATATGTATTTCTATTAGAATACAAAAAAAAATATTACTTTTTATTGAAATAACTTTGGATTCAGATGGTAAACTGTCTCTAATTTTTTTGTATTACTTTTAAATGCAATTTAGAATAATCTGTAATTTTTTCAAGTAATTCTTGACATATTGCATTTGCCTTACAACCTCCTTAAGCGCACTCGTCAGCCGTTCGCCATCACGCGAGACGATGCATTAATAGCCAGGCGACGAGGCTCTCGTCGCGTCGTCTGCCGTCTCGGACGAACCGTCCGTCAAAGAACTTGGTAGGATCATCTTCCTTCGGGTCTTATCTCTCAAAAACAATCCTTGGCTGGATATACGCAACGAGATGCCGTCATTCAATGTTAATCGCATCAATACCACAAATATTTATTTTTGTTTCTTAAAACATAGGTAACAAGTTTTTTTATCTTTAATATCGCAATCGTTATTCAAAAGTGTCGATATTTCGACTAAATTTTTTATCAATGCGATTAATCTTTCCCGACAAGATAAAATTTAAAAGCTTTGGAAATTTACTGTACTTACATGCGTAATTCATTGGTGAACCAACTTTGAATCTTGACGAAACTAGCGTAATTTATGCAAGTGCTTAGCTATTTTGGTGACAAAAATTTCTCGCGAAAAACTCTAAGAATTGGCTTACCGTTTTGTACCGGTAAGAATAATATCTCTTTATCGTTTGAAAGTAAAATTAATGGTTTTGAAACTGCAGTCAGGTATATAGAATAAAGATAAATTACTCGAGAGAAACGAGACTATAGAATTTAGAATTAGTTCTGAGCTTGTTAATACATATCAACCAAACTGGCCAACAATGTGTTATATACATATTGTATTGTGATACTTTTGTTTTAATAGATTACAGTCTAATAAAGTAGAATATATGTATAATCTGAAGCTCTGTTTGAGGAAAATGTCTGTTTTATTTTCACTTGACCTTGTATCTTTTGCAGTATAATATGTAATAACCGTGTCATATAGCGTACGTTGAAATTGCTTTTGCTATTTGATTTACATTTTACTATTATATATCTATTATAATTTATTTTTTAATATATTTATTCTTTTATCACACAAATCGTGTTCACCCAGCGTATTCACTAAATATATTGATTGCATCAGCATATAATTCTTACCATTCGCATTCATATGATGGATTAAAAAATGTAGATCGACAATATTGTGCACAGTTAAGTTAGGTGTTACTGTAAAACACTGATCTGAAGATTTTTTCTGAAGAATTTATGAATGTAGAATTTAGTGACGAGGAATCTTTTTGGTACGTATAGGGAGGACAAGGAGACAGTGCAGAGAAGAAATCCACCGACGATGGGTCGGCACATACACTGGCGTCTTGACGCCCGAAATAAACTTACCACATTCTCCCTCTCTCTCTCTTCCTCTTCATCTCTTCGCTTTCGCTTTCTTCATTTCTTAATGTAAGACTCAGATAGCTATAGCTACCCTTTGCCGCTGTCATTCTCGTTTATGAGAGAGTAGGACCACGCCGACAGTTTTCCTGGAAGATAGGAAGCAACTAAAAAAAAAAGAAATTGAGAGAGGGGGGGGAGGAGAGAAGAGAAGAAAAATCGTGCTATGATAATGTTGATATTTTGAAATACAACAAAATTAAAATATTTAAGGAAAAACATTTGAATCTGTGATGTATTTTCTTTCCAGATAAACGCAGACAAGATGGTTGTCGGAGAAGCAAGTATACATAATATAATGGGTGGAATGGAGAGCACGGGTGGAGTGCGTCTTCATAATCACAAACGGAAGCTGAAGCAAAGGTTTGTAAGTCAATTCTAGTTAAGTTAAGTCGTGTAATATATATATTATTCTGCTTAAGTGTACAGAAGTGTTTCCAAATGTATGGCTTCAGAAAAAGAAACCAAAGAAATAATTCCAATAATTACCAAATATAACACATTGGAATAATCTTCAATTGTTCGAAATAGCTTCAATTGCTTGAGATGAATAAAGTTTGATAGCGATTAATTTAATAGATGAATAATTGCAATTACAAATTTGCAATTCCATAATTAGATTCGATTAGACTGATAAGAAGATCATCTACTAATATTCTCATCTCATAGGTTTGACATCATAAAGAAATTAGGGCAGGGCACCTATGGTAAGGTGCAGTTAGGAATAAACAAGGAAACTGGCCAAGAAGTGGCGATAAAGACAATTAAAAAATGCAAAATAGAAACAGAGGCTGATCTCATCAGAATACGAAGGGAAATACAGATCATGTCGAGCGTTCAACATCCAAATATTATTCATATTTACGAAGGTAATGTTTATGACATAATAACTTATGATCACAGTAAATTATTATTTGGATGACACAAGTGTATAGAAGTAATCTATGCTATTTATGAACTAGTTAATCTTAGCTTCGATTAAATTCTCTTTGTCTCTTCGTGACAGCTAATGAATTGATAGGAAAAGGAATCGATTAGAATAGATATAGATGTAGGCACGATTAAGATTGACTTCAATAATATTAATGCTTATTTCCTTAAGAGTCTACTTAGCAGAATTATTAAAAGATGATCGTTACTGTTATAGTATTCGAAAACAGAGAGAAAATGGTACTGGTGATGGAGTATGCAGCCGGAGGAGAATTATACGATTATCTAAGCGAGCGCAAAGTTTTGAGCGAACACGAGGCCCGCAGAATATTCCGACAGATAGCCACCGCTGTTTTCTATTGCCATAAACATAAAATCTGTCACAGAGACTTGAAGCTTGAGAACATTTTATTAGACCAAGTTGGAAACGCCAAGATAGCCGACTTTGGTCTTTCGAACGTGTTTGACGAGCAGCGATTATTAAACACGTTTTGCGGCAGTCCGTTATACGCGAGTCCAGAGATAGTGAAAGGAACTCCTTATCATGGACCAGAAGTGGATTGCTGGAGTCTAGGTGTTCTACTGTATACATTGGTTTACGGTGCTATGCCCTTTGATGGGTCTAACTTCAAACGACTAGTCAAGCAGATCTCACAATCTGATTATTTTGAGCCTAAAAAATCATCCCGTAAGTATAGCATTCGTATAACGCGCGACGTCAACACGCTCGCGTGCAACTATCAAAAGTGCCAAAAAGCTAAAGTATAAATTACGAGAAATTTTTGTCAATTCATCGAACTGACAAAAATTTCTCATAATTTATTTGTGTGAATTAGCATAAGACTTGGTAATCTTATATTGAAGCAATTTCTTCCGAAATTTGTATAAAGTAAATGAAATAATAATTTGATTTTATACAATTAAATCTTTTTTATAGCCGCTTCGCCGCTTATAAAGGAGATGCTCACGGTGTGTCCCAGTAGACGTGCCGATATCGAGAGAATCTGCACTCACTGGTGGGTGAATGAAGGCTATGAACAGAATTGTCTCGATATCGCAGAGGATTTAGCGGCTCAGACTCCAGTTCGATTGGATCTATTGCTCTCTCTAGTGCCACAGTCGGCCAGCGCCGAGAAATTGCTAGTAGGGGGCGATCAGCAAGCAGGCGGAGATGTCGCGAATAATATGTCTTCCGATACGTTGGTACCTACTAGGTGTCATTCAGTTGGTAGTTTAATGGAGCTCGATCAGAATAACTCCGACAGGAGAATAAGAGAGTTGTTCGAGGAGGAGCCGAGGTCTTTCGCGGCTGGAGACGCTAAGAGAAAGCTGGAGACAACACCGTCGATGGATGAAACGACTGCGGCGGGCGTAAAGAGGAAAGAGAGGTCTAGAAGGAAAGAAAAGTCAGACGAGAGAGAGCCTAGGACGTACAGATCTTCATCTAGGTAAATTATAAATATATGTCTTGAAACTATTTTCTAATCAATATTAACATTTAATTCCCATTAATATAAAGAGACATAACATCAAACATTGTTGTCCCAGACATCACTCAGCTCCAATTCCAAATTCTATATCGGAGGAGGCGATGGAGGTGGAACCGACAGCCATTGTAACTGTTCCTATGAGTAAGACTGTTGATTTTGAGAAAATAGAAGCAGCTTGTCTAGAGCTGATTGAAGAATCAAAAGAAAGATCGCCAAGTAAAGAAAGAAGTAAGACTCCGTTGATAAGCGAATATCAACAGTCACGCGAGCCAATGTCTATCGAGGGCGCTCAGATTTGTGAAATTAATCAAAAGGCTAGCAATGAGCAAGATAAAGCGCAACAAAAGCGTACAAAGTCTCCTAATAAGAGTTTATACGAAGACGTGGAAAAAACTGCTTCAGAAAATATGAATAAGATAACAAATGAAATAGCATTCAAAAAGTCAGATAATCTGGAATCAAAAGTGCCAAATAAAAGCGACACGAGTGTTACAAACGAAACGTCGCAAGATATACAGCAATTCGAACCAACGGAGAACGAGTTCAAAAAGCTAAAAGAAAAAGCGCTTTCTTTAGACTCCGAACTATCGAATGAAGTGGCAAACGTTCCATCTGTTAAGCCCGTTGAGAGACGACGCTCCAAAATATTCGAAACGGCTGAAAAATTCAATCAACTGTCATCTACTGCGGAAAACGAGAAACCTAAAAAGATATTTATTCCCGGTGTTAACGTAGGAGGTGCAAAACGAGCTTTCGAAAGAAAGGCCAGTCTTACCGCAATCACGCCACCCCCTACAAAAGTCAGCGCGTCTAAAGTTATTATCGATGTGCCAACCACTAAGACAGGCGAGAAGGATGAGCAGAAGCAGACACTGGGGAATCAAGAGATCATTGCCACCGAGGATAAATTAAATAAGCGAGATGAAGCGAAAAAACGCGCTATCGATATCATTAGTGGCGCGATCGGTAAGCCTCCAATGCAGAAGAAGTTGAACGGCTCGCCACCGAGTTCAGTATCGCCTCAGAGCCCAAACTCCAAGAAACTCGGACTGAAGGTACAGATTGCACCGAATGACGTGCGATCTGCTACGGTGTCTGTCTCCACGCCAATTGAAACAAAATTTGACCTTGATGTTAAGTCAACGGCACCAAAAGCAACTGTAAGTACGAAACTAAAATGTTGGTGTATTGTCTACAAGTTCAACTTCAACTTCCATCTAGTTTTGTTTTATTTCTTTTTCTTTAATAGACGACTAGTATATCTGACAGTACAACTGATATCGAAACTTCGCAATTGGATGAACCAAAGATATCTAGTAAAATGGAAATAACATTAAAGAGTGCAACGTTGCCCAGACGAAAAACAAGCAAAGCTGAAATTACATTGTCCGGGGTCAGGTCGCCAGAAACTGTAGCGTTCAAGTCCGAAGTAGAAGCTAAGATTGATGCTTTCCAGCCGCAGAAACTGCGTACACAGAGATCAGAGGTGGCGTTCCCGGTTGCCGCGGCGGTGCCTCATGCAAACAGAAGTTCAAGTTTAGAACCAGAAGATAGACCTAAGGCTACACCGCCGAAAGAAAGAATTATACCTATTCAGGTACAGAAAGATCAACATGTTTATTTTGAAAACATATATATTTTTTTTATTTGAGAATTGATGAAATAAGAATTGTTTTTTTGCATCTGTAAAATTATAAAAATATAGGTAGAGACAGGACATGAACGTACGCAGCATTCATCCACACCACCGCCTAAAGCGTCAATGTCCCAGAGATCAATGTCTCAACAATCGAATTCTTTGTCTCGCCAATCGACTGCCGATTCAGACACGGACAGCGCTCTCGGGCCAACTGTGGGATCGGAACCAATCAAAAAGAGTCCTAGAGAGTACATAATTCCTATCGCGGTAGAGGGTGGCGGTTATGTTACTCCCAGATCGGGTAGTCTGGAGCCGGAGAGTAAGACTGGTACACCGACAAGTACGAATCCCTCGAGATCCCGATTCGGTAGGCCAAGAAGAATGAGCTCTCTATTATCGGATGCTAGCGAAGATGAGTCTCCTTTCTCTCCATTGCATGGGTAAATGTAGTTAATCTTGATGGTTTATGTCAAATTCTATTTTATACTGATATAGTTTGAGAGCATTAGCTGACAATAAATATTACAAATTTAGATCTGTATTACTAAATTTAAATGATAATCTTTTTTTTTCTCAACAGAGAGGATTTGTTGCAAAGACATATGCATCGATTGAGAAGTTCGCGACCATCCAGGCAACCTTCCGAGCACGCCGACAGCTTGTCATCTGGCGAGGACGACGATGATGACGGTTTCGAGTTATTGACTGCCGAAAACTTGTTCTCTACGTTATTATCTAGAGTACGAAGTCTGACGCAGCGACTCAATGTTGATGATAATCGATCTGGCAGTTTTCCAAGTAGTAGACTGTTCGGC